ATGTCTCTGGCCTGAGATTTAAAAAAATTGTATGCATATTAACTGTTTACTGCTATCAAAAACATTCTTAACTATAGGGCAAAGAGTTTAGGTTAGTTAAAAAGCCCTTCTTGCTAATTAGAATTGTTAAAGTTAATGGGTTACTGGGCAGATCTTCACAGGCCAAATGAAGAATGTTGTTTTATGGCATGATAGACCCGGGGTGTACAAAGTTCCAGAATAATCCAGCATTCTCCCTAAAAAAAACCTCTTTATCTTTTACATCCAATGGAAGAATGGGGATGATTTTTTTTTCAAATTCTATTTACTTGGCACCTTGTCTTAACACTTCGCCATTTTGCCTCACCTTTGTCAACCACGTTAAGTGAAGTTATGGAATATTCTTTGGTAGCCTTTACATAGAGTAAGTTCATTGATTAAGATAAAGTAGTTGTGACCTGATTGAAAGTTGACAAGTTAAAACTAGAGAACTGCCAAAATAACTTCCCTTTTATGTTGTAATACAGAATAACATGGGGTTATTCCTTTTTTCACTCTTTCATATATTAAAAGAGTGAAATGGACGTGGTTTTATGTTAACACTACAGACAGATTTACTCTTATCATTAGTCCAAAGTGGTCCCAGGCAGGTTGAAATCCTGGGAAAGTCTGAATGAGCCTGAGACCAAAAAAACAACAGTGTCAAAAGCCCCAGCCTAAAGGTCAAAAATACGAATTTAAGTATCAGACAGGCCTGGGCTGAGTCCTAACTCAGCCTCCTATAAATAGCCTTGGACAATTAACTGCTTGTTCTCCAATTCCTAACATGCAATTAAGTATAATAATATTATCTACTTTATAGGACAGTTATGAGGCTTAAATGAGGAAACAGATTTCAAACACTTAGTATAAGGATTAGCACAGAGAATAACCGAACAGTATTAGCAGTTAGTACACATTTGATTTTCTTTTTTAGATCTGTGTCTTACAGTGGGTGCTGGTTCTGACAGTTATAGCAGAGGACCCGATTCCCTGACCAATGCCATTTCTTTTCTTGCCTTTGAAGTTAGAGGTGAAGGAGCCGTGGGAAAAAGCACCACCTGGTGCCTAGAGAAACATTTCCCATGTGCCTCTGGGCCCTCACTCTAGATTGTCTGTGTAAGCTCAGGGGCTTTTCTTAAGATTTTGCATCCAAGTTCAAAGACTTATCCTTCCAAAGAATATGAGGTATAGTCGCAGTTTATGATGTCATGTTTGCTGTAAGGCTTTGTTGTAGTTGCTGAAATAATCACAACCTCAGCCAGTGCTTAGATCTTAAAAGAATTATAAGGGGAAGTCAAGCCCCATTCTTAAGTAAAATGCAGCAGAACTAGTAGGAGTAGTCCCATTGGGCAATAAAAAGAGGAAATGTTTTAAAAATACATCTATCTTTAGATCATTAGGCTTACAAAGTCAATCTTGATTCTTTGATTTGACTAGGACTGTGGCCTAATGAGATACTTTTAAAGTAAGCTAATTCAGCCACATTTTAATCTATGTACACTAGCCATGAGTTTCTAAAATTGCATTTATTATGAGTACAATATTGTGTTATTGTATTGCCTCAAATCCAAGATGCATTTTTTTTCATTTTCTGGTAATTAGGCAGTTTTATGATTACTGTGGATAGTTATGTTGTAGTGGTTCTTTTTCCCTAAAAACTGATCTTCAACCAATAGTATATCTTACAACCGATGGAGTCTTAGACCCTTGGGAACAAGGAATTCTAAAATTATACTGTTTTGTGATCATGTTACCTAAGATGATTACTCTTTGTGATAATTCAGAGATTGGCAAAAGGAACAATTTGAATCAATAAAAAAGGTAATACAAAAGTCTTCATTAAGTTTGATAATACATGTGCGCAAGTGGATATGAGAACCATCACCCTAGTTAACATTTGGACTTATGTTTCAACATTACTTTAAAAGCCCATCAGAGTTCTTCAAATATGATAGGAAACATTATATTTGTAATAGCAAAAGATCTGAAGAAAAGCAAAAAGCTTGCCCCACACGAGCTCCCAGAAACCACTTTCTTCATGTCAGCGCACCTCCTTCTTTTGAGGGTCGCTGTGGAGGCCGCCATACCTATCACCGTCAGTCTGCAGAACTGGACCTTCGCTTGCTACTTCATACCATTCAAAACCTGCCATATACAGTACAGTGCTGGGCACATAGTAGCTATTCAATAAATATCTTGTGGCTCACTGATGTGAAATCAAACCTGTGTTCTAATTAGGCATACATGTAGCTTTTAGCAGTTGGGGAAACCCAGATTTCTTAAAAAGTTCTCTTTTTCCTTTTATCCTACTAACAACACTTTGAGTTAATTTTGGGACTAACTTTTACACAAATAAAAGCTGCCAGTAAATCAAACCCTCAAAGTTCTTTTTCCCTAGAACACTTTTAAAGGCCATAACTCCTTTGTATTTTGGTAACAAACATGAAAATTACTATACCTGCAGGTGGAACACCACCTTCAAAGAACACTTGGATCAGAGATGGCAAACTCAATGATCAATGTAATATAAATAGTGAAGTGTAATGTTAAAAGCTGATGATGTGAAACATTGCATGGACCAATTAACTTGAAACGACTCAAATTGCTGACAATGATTACCCTTAAGAACACTTCCTATCAGCTATGTGTCCAGTCGACTTGCAGATATTTTAGTTAGTTAAATTGAAAAATCATAATCCATGGATAATTGGGAAGGAGTGGGAGGAAAGGTATTTATCTTAAAATATTTAATCCAAATTAAAAAAATTCCTGACCTCTAAAACAGTTTACATTTCAAAAAAGGAGAAGTCCTCTGAATACTGACACTACAATAGGCACTGAATCAGCTTTTGATCATAAAATAAAATTTATATGCCTGGTATTCACAAATTGTGATTAAAAAGTAAACTCCAAATACTACGAAATCCATTTTCTTATTTGCTACCTAATTCCATTAGAACTATCTGAAGATATAAGAATCACAGGGCTTAGAGACAGGAGAAATAAGGTGATTTGTTTTTGCACATTCTTTTTACCTATTTACAGACAGGAGAAATTAGATAAACTGTATGCTTGATTTTTCAAAACCAAAACAATATAAAAGCCTTCTCACTTTTTCCTTTGACAAAATTGACAAGCATAATAAGTTCGGCCCCATACCTTTAAGAATTCTGTAATAGCTTATTTTAGGCTTCACTGAAGAGGGGGAAATACCTGCAAAATTTCCACACCAACAAAAGAAATTGTCATTGAGGTACAGAGGATTTATCATCAGGATGCAAACATATGCCTATCCTGTATGTATGTCATGTTTAAAAACATTACAAATGTTTTTGAGTCACGAAATGTATGACACATTCTAGCTTATTATCCTGTATATGGTATTCACACTATCATTTGGAAATCTTGTATTTGCATTTTCAAGAACCATGGTTAAGAATAAAAGTCAGAGGAACCTGATCACTTTTTGCTTCCAAATGTCTTACCTGTCTATGCTTAATTTGATTTATAAGGTCAGATAAATGTTATTTTCAAGCCAGCTGTGAATTGTATCAGTCAAATGATTTTGAAAGAGAGAAAGAAAAGCCATAGCTTAAATTATTAGTAAAGGAAGGCCTAACTTGAAATTCACGTCAACTTTCCATTCTGCAAAGCAATTCATTCACATAAAAAGTCAAAAAGGACTTCATTTAATTAGTGATATGTAAAGACTCTTGCATAGAAAAAGGTTACAAAGTAATGCAAAAAGAACTAGGTACAGTAATTTTAAAACAAATATTTAAAAGTATAATTTTGCATAATGTTTAACATTCTCATAATATTTATTGCTTTCTCCACACAGCAGAGAAATGAAGTGCATAATAATACATGCTGTGTCTCTTATCTTTCAAACATAAAATCTCACGTGCTTGATTTCAATGTATTAAGAGATTATTTTGTCAAAAAAAAAATCAAAAAATCAACACCACAACACCATATGTAGCACTAGTCTAGGTATGGACAAAATAATTTATGTACATCCCATTGCATACATTCATCTTGCTTTGGGATCAAATACAACCACTACCTTGACAAAGCATTTAAAAATCGTGGCTTTTCTCTTCCCGATGCTCTCTCCTTGTTTTATCACCTCCAGAAATGCAACTTCTCCCAAAAGGTGACAGGAATAGATGTTGCACATTATCAGGAGAAAATGAAGAGGATAAATATACAAAAACAGTCCAAATGAAACTGAATAAATTAATTCAAACTCTTATAAACTGGAGAGTTTTCAAGTTGGCATGAATCAAATAGCCTCCGGTGGGCACATGGTAGGCAACTGCTCCTAGGTGCGCTATATAAACGTAAGGTTTCTGTAAAGAAGCACCATATTTTGAGCCATCCAAAGAAAAAGTGCCTGGGGGCTTGCAGGCAGAGCAGAAATACTTGTTAATCTAAGCACTGATGGAATAATTGCTTATACCAATGCACTGCTAAATGTCACCACTTGGCAAGTCTGTAAAAAGGAAGCAAACTAAGATAAATCTAGCTCTTCCAACTTGGAAATTATTTTCAGTAATCCTTTTGACCAAAAAAACCTGTGGCTTTCAACTGAGTACTCTTCTCTGGCATCGAATTAAAATGTCTGCGGCCTATTGCAAGACTTCTTTCCCTTTCCTTTCTTAACCTGACTTCCACGCTCTTCTTTACTTGTGCAATGTTATATGTTCAGAAGAAAAGTTTCCTAGCTCAGGCACTTATGAAACATGAATTTTTTTTTTCCCCATCTAGTTTCAAGAGAACTCAGTCAGGGCATTTTTCTTGCCCAGTTCAGACATACTGATGCACTGCTGGATGGTAAAGTCCATACACTTTCCCGGAAACTTCTACATGGAAATGAGTGTGAAGTTTTCAAAAGTTGCTGATGTCAGTTACCGAGCTGCCTTAAACAAAAAAACGAAACAAAACAAAAAGATAATACCACATTTCCACTCGTGAGGTTTGTGTCTCAAATAACTTTATTGTTCCTTTGTGGATCTGTAGGCATCTGTATGGCTACCTTCAGGGTGCAGAGGTTTTAAGCTGACTCTGAAATGAAGGGCATTCAGTTAATATTGCAAGAAGTTCAAGGAAAATTTAAAAAGCTCCAACTTCTGTCCCCCAGGGTCGGTAAGGTTTACTGTTTGTTCCACCGCTTGTCTGCTGAGGACTGGACGTGGCTGATACCGATAAGGGCGGGCTGATGGCTGTTGCTGCTGCCACTGCTGCAGCTGCGTTGGGGGGGAGCATGGGGAACGCTCCTGCGAAGGACAGAGGGAAGCTGTGTGCGGCTGCGGTGGCTGCTGCGGCTGCAGCATGGACGGTGGCAGAGAGGGACAAGAGAGAGGTGGAGAGAGGTGGCACGCAAGGGGCAACACTGCCCGTGGATGGCATTCGGAGGGCAGAATCTGCGTGGGCAAACGTGGCCGTGAGGAGCGCAGAGCCATGGGCAGGAGGCACTTCTGAAGTCGTGGAGAGGCGACAAGGGGTTGACTCCGAGGTGTGGAGTCCATTGGGTTGGAGCAAGGCTGCGGGCAGATGGTGGAAGGCCGCCGCCCAGTGATGTGGATGGAGGGGGTGATGGTGGTGGGCCATGGAGGACGTCATTGCCGCCGCCTCCCGCTGGGAAGCACACGTGCTGAGATGAGAAACCAGTCGCACCCTCAGTGGATCGGAGGAGTCCAGGCCTTCCACGGAACTCAGGTACCTCGCCACTTCAGTTAAGCACTCTCGGAATCCAATGCTCATGAAGTCCATGGCAAGAGCATGTGCATCAAAGTAGCCTAGAAGCGGGGGTTGAGCAAAGCGGGGGGCGGGGAAAGGAGCAAGATGGAGAGGCAGGGGTGGGGCAGGGAGAGAAAACGATACAGTTATGAAGAATAAAAACTCACTGATGTTCCACTCTGTCCTTCAGAAGACTGAAGTCGATAATCCTTTCTGAAAATATTGTCTGCTGTTTATGGTTTTAATTTTTTTGCTGAAGTTAAAAAAGCGTACTTTGCAACTCATATGTGTGACAACTCTGGCAATGCAGTTTGCTACAGTTGTTCTTGCAACTAAATGTCACAGTGGGGGGAAATTAACAACGTTCAAGTGTCAAGCACTTCCAGAGAAAAAAATGGGTCCCTCCTTTTGTATTGTGGGATAGTGAAATTCCCCAGGAAACGTTTTCACAGAGTTACAGAGCTCCAGTCTCTCTGTCTCTGTCACAGGAGTTGGAGATTAAAGGGCTTATCTGAAACATCCTTACCCTCTTGGCATTTTAACAGAGCGGCCAAGTGCATCTTAGCAGCGTGAGGACTTTCTTTAGAAATGTGCTAGACTCTCAATAAATGCATAAATGCTTCTTGACTCACAATGTTTTTTTATCAACAAAGTGAAAACATCTTGTGATAACTACTAAAAAAGGTTTAATGAAAACAAAATGAGTTTTTTATTTAATTTGGTTACTAATTTGAAGATCTTATTTTTCTGTCAGGAATATAAGGCTGCTTTACTGATATAAATTTATTGTACTATAACTCCTAGTTTTTCTGAACTTCAAATATGTATCTCCTTCATTGGTTGGCTTACTTTTTCTGGCACCCACCCAAGAAAAAATGTATATCAATTGTGTGTGTATGCACACACCCCCAATCTATGGTTACTACCATAAAAATGGCTGAAACTCAGTCACATTTATTAGATTCTCTTTTTATCCAGAGATAATATATTAGAAGAGAAAAATGGTAATTTCTGATTATTATAGTTCCAATTTAGAGCACAATGATAATCAGGCATTTGGGGAAATGTCACCCACTTTGAATGAGTGAACTCTGGTATATACAAACATATCCTTTTCAGATTCTTTTATATTTGCAACTTTTTAAAAAGTAATTTTCAAACTGAAAGTTTAGTCTATTCACTTTTGGGATATATATACATGAATAAGAAATATCACATTCAAACAAGGTTATTTTTATCTATAGCATTTACTACATTATCTTTTTATGTTTTTGCTGATAAAGTATTACCTGTTTCATTTATCATCTATTAAAAATTAGGCTATCTTAATCTATAATCAAAGTGCTTTGGAAAATAGTAGTCACATATACTCAAAGTCCTAAAACTAGAATTCTAACAGAAATTTGGAAGTCTAAAGAGATATTTCTGGCAAATATACACACCATTAAGACAGAAACAACAACAAAACAAAGCTGATATAAGAGAATATCTTAAAATGGGAAAGCAACAAAAATATTTATCATCCCAGCACTTTGGCATAGTTAGCAAACAGAGCCCCTTGGATTAGGAGGAAAAGCTATGCCTGAAGAAGAACCCTCCATGGAAAGATTTCATAGTTCAGCGCTCAGGGTTCTCTGTAGGGCTTTACAGCCTTCTGACTTCCATGAGAGATGGAAAGAGGTAATGATTAGAGTAGACAGAGTCCAGAAATCCATAGGGATTTAGAAATTTAGGTTACTTTACTAAAACCTCTCTAGAAACTATTGTCATACCAAGACAGATGTAAAGAATGAATCAGTAGAATGGGAACCCCAGGAGCTTCCAAGAATTTTCATTAGTGGCCATGAAGTAAGTGAAATTTATGGTTTGCCAGCTATGTTGTTGGATATTGCTGAGTTCTCTGTTGCATCCTAAGAAATATACATTTTGTAATTCCTAGCCTATTGTTAAATGCAGAGAGAAATGATGATGAGTAGCTGTCTCCTGTGAATGGATCTTGGGCCAACAATAGCACACACACGTCTACACTACTTTCTCTGTGCCAGCACTATTCTATGGGCTTTAAGTGAATTAACTCCTAACAACCTTGTGAGGTGGACACTATCATTGTCCTAATTCTACAGATGGTGTAACTGGGGCTCAGAGAGGCTTAGTAATTTACCCAAGGTCACACAGCTAATAAACAACAAAGCCAGGATTTGAAATCAGGCAACACAGTCCATGCCCTTCACCACTGCACTTTGAGGCAGTTGGGAGTCTTTGACAATGTGAATCCAAACTGCCAGCCCCCTTTTTCAAGGCCACACATTCTCCTATGCAATGACCTCCTTAATGATCTGGCAGTCAGGCGACTTGTATGGAGCCTGCTTGGAAATGTCTGTTCACAAACTATTCTGGGACAAATTTTAAGACTGTTCAGGTAGCCAAGAATAGCAACCGAGATGGAACTCAGCTTTTATAAGAAAGCCTAAGAACAATATTCCTCTTTAGAAATACAGCTCATGCCAAATATTTGAAACCCTGTTAAGAATACTTAGCCTTGTGGCTAACAATGCCAAGGGAGGTAGGGCAATTCTTCTTGCCTCATTACTAATTTAATCAGAATCCTAACATCCTGAGGTAGCAGTTGTAGGGACAGAATTATGGGGCTGGACAGGACTTTGGAGCTCAACCGGCTAGTGTAGGCCTCAAAGTACAGCAAAGTACTTCTGTTTTAGGGCAAAGGCAAGGCAGTGAGTGGCCAAGCTGGGCTGGATCACTGGCTTCTATGATTTAATCCAATTTTATTCTCTGTTACATAAGAATGTTTGCATCTTATGTCGCTCTTTACTCATTCAGGACAGTTTCTTAACATGGTGCAACCTGGGATAAGTCACACAATGTCGGCTTCTTTGTACAATGATCACTCCCCCCCCCACCACCAGCACTACCGCTACCACCTGACACAAATAAAAGATGGTTACGATCAGGGCTGGTTTTCTACAAGTCCTAAGCATTGTGGGCATATAGGAGTTAAATACTGAAATACTCCTAAACCAATTGGTAAATAGCTACTTCCCTCCAATGCCTTGTCTCTGCCCTGACCTGGGACCCATATACTATGTAGTAAGGTTAATGCTGGGCACAGAGAGGCTTCCAGGATTTAGTAGCAGCACTTAACTCCTTGTGATACCCCCTCCTTATTCAGTTGTTAAATATACTGAATAATACCCTTCACTAAGATGAATATCAAAGGCTTCTTTGAAGGGTGATAAAGATACAAAAGGGCAAAATCAAGTCTGCGTGATGTATGCACAAGTGGGATAATGAAATTAGAGCTTTTAGGATCTCAAGTCTATTTTTAGCATGAGATGAGGGTCCCTCTCTCAGCCCCCTGACACAATTCCCCCCTAACTCACCATCCAGTACAGAGGATATCTCTTTAGGGCACTGGACCCAGAGTGCCTGCTCCTGTCTGCTCTCCCCAGGAACAACTCTGCTCCATGAATGGTTTCTAGTACAGAGATTTACTACCTGAACTTCTAATGTTCTGTTTACTCTAAATCCAAGACCAACCAAAACCTGAAAACAATAATGAAAATAACTCTAGACTTGCTTTCTTTCGAACAGCTAAATGATTTTGAGTCCTAGCCTTGATCCAATGAAGAAGGAGGAAGAGGAGGAGAAGAGGAGAAAGAAGAGGAGGAGGAAGAGGAAGAAGCAGCAGCAGAGGAAGAGAAAGAGAGAAAAATAGAGAGAGAGAAAATAAAGAAGAAAAAAGGATTGCCTCTAACCTCTTGCTTATGTTTGGATGTTTGTGTGTTTGTTTTTTCTTTTTGTATGGATTCCAGCATGCCCTTCTTAAGTCCCAAACAAATCTCTGACCAGGCTGCTGTGAATGAAGCCTTACTCCCACAGTATTATGAAAGCAAACACAAGCCCAGGGTCAAGTGCTTCTTTTGTTCCAAAAGTTCTTTCCCACGAGTTCAATCCTGCCATTAGCATTGATTTCCACAGCTTTAATCTGGGACCGCCTATCTCAGCTTGTTAAAGAACTGTTCAACTATGACTTCCCTACAACATTAGGGGGAAAAAATGAAAAGAGAAAGGTAGAAAGGGGGAAAAAATGAAGTCACCTACTTACCTTTACCCCCTGTTGCCTGAAGCATCTTCAAATGATCCACTGTCATTTGCAATATTTCAGCTTTTTCTAACTTCGCAGATCCCTTCGTAAACAAATTATAAAGTCTCATCAGTCCTACAAAAACTAATCTGGAACATTATATGTTGAATTTAGCATTATTATTTCAATTTTCCCTCTCACTGGAAAAGTCTAAGTTTAATTTTTCTACAGAAAAATATGAATTCTTTCCAAATTTTACATCAAAGCACTAATTACTCTGTCATACCTAATGACACATATTTGTCGTTTTAAATTTTAAAGGCTAAAAAGAAGGCAAAATAAATAGTTAATCTGGAACATTATATGTTGAATTTAGCATTATTATTTCAATTTTCCCTCTCATTGGAAAAGTCTAAGTTTAATTTTTCTACAGAAAAATATGAATTCTTTCCAAATTTTACATCAAAGCACTAATTACTCTGTCATACCTAATGACACATATTTGTCGTTTTAAATTTTAAAGGCTAAAAAGAAGGCAAAATAAATAGTTTATCATCAGAATAATTATATTTCTAAGTTCACTCCATCAAAACCATTTCAATTGCAAAAATCTCAAATTTGCATTCAATCTCTATCTTGATTAATAATATATTTTAGTATGGCATATCCAATAATCTTATATAATGCTGAAGTCTAGATGAATTGAATAGTTGTATAACTCTGGACGATAAGAAGATAGGATTTTAGCAAATTATTGTTAAAAGTAGATTTTTCAAATATAGAAAATTCTAATAAATCCTTAAAGATATTTCATACTAGACCACGGGTAAACAGATCCAAAAATTAAAAAAGGAAGACTTTTAAGGGTTTTTTTCCTTACATAACTACCAGCAGGTGTCACTGTGAATTCCAAGATCATAAACAAGAATAATTTACTATTTACCTAGGAAGCATAATAAATGCTTAAGAATTTTTGAAACTTTAAAAATAGTTCTTAATAAAATTATCTTGGAAATATATTTTTATTTTCCCCCTTTTCCTTTTTAAAATACCACAACCTCTGGAAACCAATTGAAATAAAAATGAGCCATCTCTATCTGCCTCAGGGGTCTATGGGTGGCTTCTAATTTCCTGGAAGAGGCAAATAATTATACCAATTTTTTTTTGAAAAGGATACTAAAGCTTATTTCAGGTTCCTATACTTTACTTGTTGTGAAAATTATTAGCACCCAGGACATAATGAGAGTGCTAGAGTTATTTAACTGCCCTAAAGAACATTCTTCTAATTGTATTGTGCCAGAGCCAGCTCGCTATGGTTGGTAGCCAAGCTCTGAAAATGGGAAAGCTCGTGTTTATGGTAACTAACTGCCAAACAACTGAGGTTTGCTTTTAAGGTTTGTTTTAAGTCAACATTTAAGAAAAAAAATCTAACAAACCAAGAAAAAAATCCCCACTGACTGCTCCTCCTAACTGTAGACATTTCAGTCTCCAAATTTTAAAAACGTCATTGATTACTGGCATTTTCATTTGCAGCTATTGTCCTTGAAAATGCTACTAATCAAAACTACAATTTGCACATTCTATTTAGTGTATCAAAGACAGTCTCGGCATGTAGACTGGGTGTCTTTTTTGTCTTAAAAATGTACAGTCAATAGCACATTACACTTGTACTTTTGTCGGTATTCAACTTCTCCATGAAGATGCATGAGTAGTTTCAGTGAAAGTGACGAATAACTGGAACTGCAGTTTCTGGATAATTTCCAAGGGCTTTGTAGACTTGTTTTATAATGTTTATGGATTCATGAAGTAAACAACAAAATGGAATAAACAAACAACTGCTGTCGTATGCAATATTTGAATTAAATTGAAAATATTTTCAACAAGGACATGCTGCCATAGCCTTTGAAAGATGCTCTTAGAAATCTGTGCCATCAGCCATTGCGGCAGGAGAAGAAACACAAATTTTCTAAAACCACAAAGGAAGATTTAAACATTTGGCTTTCTATTTCTCTGAGTGTGCAAAATCTTTGTTTTTTTTTTTTTTCTATAAAGGAATACTTGCACTATGTAAAGGGACATTTATGACTAATTTGATTTTTGCCAAATTTCCAAAAAGATGCCCCAAATCAAGCATTCTATTAACCCAGGGATTAAAAATGAAAGCAAGTGGCTTGGTAAATAAATTTTATTAGTATTGTTATTTAGGAAATAGAGCTGGAGATGTTACTTCCTGGGCTTTGGTTATTTTCTAATTAAAAAGATTACTTTTTTTAACAGTTTGAGAAAAAAATGATATTTCACATATTTCTTTTGAAGAATACTATATGTAGCACAGTTTTAAACAAAACCACTACTGGTATTCATAGAAAGAACAGAGAAAGCATGAACACTGTTATCCTTAAGGGGAAAGTAAGCTAAAGAATGGAAATGTTTTTCAACTTCGTGATGGATTATGTTTTTAATAGTTTTGCCACAACAAAGCATTTTATTGAAATAGCTGCTCTGTGCCAGATCAGGGTACGTACACCATTATTTTAATGAGCTTTAGCAACAACCCACATTCCCAGATGAGAGAATCAGATTGTTTGAGCTTTTTTGGGGGGGGTCCAGGTGGGAGTAGCTTACTTGTTTTTCAAAAGCAGTGGGTACCAGTCGTCTTAACTCAGATAAACTGTTATTTATCCGATCCCGACGCCTTTTCTCTATAATCTATCCCAAAGAAAGCAAACAAAAGTTTATGAATACATAAATGATAAAATTACTCAAATGGAAAAATACAACTGTTCCACATTAGGCTGGGTTACATGAAATAAAGAGGAAAAAAAATCACATACCCCTCTCCTTTTCTTTCTTGCCATAATCTGAGATGTTGTTGTTGGAGAATTCGATCTAATCACAGAGCTAGTACTTTGCCTATGAAATAGGACGAGTATGTCAGGTACTTCATTAACATAACAATAGTTACTTCTGCATACTTCGTGGCACCATTAAATATTCAGAGTGATTCCACAGCTCATGTCTGTGTTATTTTATTCTTAGTTCTTGTTTCACTCTTAACAGACTTTGCTTCCAGCCTGTCTCTTTTCAGGTAGGAATTATACCTTATAAAAAAGTTTTTAAACGAGTAATCCAGATGCTAAATCCATTGGCAAAAATATCCCTGAACTTTTACTTAAGTTTCCCAGTGAAATAATCATGGACAGTTAGGGTGAGAAATTAGATTTTAGTATTTCCTAATTCCACTCATATATATTGTAAAGTTAACTAATGTCCTCCAATAGCATCCCTCCTCCCTCCTCACAGGCATACTGAACAAAGTATTATCACTTTTTAAAATAAAGTAAGTGTTAAGCACCTTATCAAACAGATACAAAGTCATCACATGTCAAAGTGTTGTCCCTAGGTGCAATCTTAAAAATAAACAGAAGTTATCTTATTCTTTCAAAACTTCAATTAGTCATATCTTACTACAGAAAAAACTGACGAATTTGATGTTTTGTATAGTAATGTTCCAAAAGTGTGCTCTAAATTAAATATGCCTCTGATAGGGAAATTAAAATTAGGTTTACTACTAATTGAATGTTTTACTTTGAAAATGAAACTGAAGGTATCTCACAGCCTTCAATCTAAGCTTAAATTTCTAGAAGCTGCAATCCACCTTAAGTTTACTAATGAAAAGATATTTTTATAGTCAAAGTTCAATCAAAGTATTACTTGGTCACATAAATTTTACAATGCTTTCTAGTTTATGTCTGTTTCTCTTCACAATTCATGGATAGTTTGCTTCTTTATGTTCTCAAATTCCCCAAGTTCTTGTTATTTGTTCTTTTTCACTTTAGAAATGTTGCACACACCAGGTTGTTATTACCTCACCTTCTCATTTCTGGATCTTATTTCTGAATTAACTGTCCCCCTCATTCTCACACCTTCTCTACTGGTTTCACCTTTCACGTGACATCTTCCGTTTTTTCATACCTCATTTTTTTAAGACGACACAACACTTTAATAATTTAATAATATTTGAAACGTTGCAAACAACGTTTCCCGTATCTTTGCTCTTGCTGATTTCAGGCCTTGGTTTGTGCGTGTTGGAATAACAATATGAAAGAAAAACTGTTTTCCAATGGTAGGGAAAATTTCCCTGTTTGAGTGACAGCTGCAGATAAATAATTTAGGCGCTTCTCGGGATGACAATTAGGATCAATTATCATTTGACCCGCCTGGGCTCTAAAATGCCTCGGTAATCTCCTTCCGTCACAGGAAAGTGGAGGTCTTGGCTTCTGTGATCACAACGCAGATCTTTTCCAGACTTGAGAACAAGCCGTCAAAGAAATGACGCCCTTTCCGATCCTTCTATCAGTCACTCCCTGGCGCGTCTGCCCAGTCACACACGGTCACCCTGCAAAGCTCGACCTACTTAGCCTTGACATCGCAGACCGCTTTAATTTCTCCAAACGGCGAGTCGTGATTTTAGCCTCCCTAAACATTAAACATCAAATTGTTCTTCTTTTCTCCTGACCTATTTTGAAAGTGCCCCCAAATACGGTTTCAGTGGTGGGGGCGTCGCCCGCCGCCCGGACGTGCCTGTCCACGCGCCCCACGCTGACAGCCGGGGACCCTCCTTCGCCAACTCCTGCATTCTCCCTTTCAGTCGCGTCTCCATCCTCTCCGCCCAACCCCTGTAGTGAAAAGCGACATCCCTCGCCCCACCCCACTCGCGCTCTGCAAGCGCCCACCACTCAAAAGTTTCTCGGGCAAACTTTCCTCTCGTCTGCTTGCTGCGCAGAGAGCCTCGGGACCTCCAAAGAGCCGCTTCTGCACAAAGCTCCCCAGCGCCCTCGGGCTCCGGGCAGCTCCCGCCAAGCCCGCGCTCACCCCGAGTAATTGTTCTCGCTCCCCACGTCGATGGTCTCGTCCATGTCGCTCTCGGAGGTCGTCTCCTCGCAAGGGCGCTTCATCGCGGCCAAGCCGGCGCGGGGCGCAGCCGGGCCGAAACCAAGGACGCCGCGCGGGGCGCAGCACCCTCCCCGCCGGCCTCCTCCTTCCCTCCCTCCCTCCCAGGCCTTGGCAGGCGCGGCTCCGGCGGCGGCGCGGTCTGCTCCTCGCGGCTCTTTCCCACGCCGCAACCCTGCTCGGCCGCAAGAGCCGGCGCCGGCCACGCCCCTCCGCGCAGGCTGGGCCCCCTCTCCCGCCCCCCGCGCGCGGGCCCCGGCCTCCCGCCGGACCCCGCCTCCTCAGTGGTCGGCGTGGCTCGCGATTGGCTGGGGCGAGGGGGCGGGGCTGCGCTCGCCAATGCCGGCGGCGAGGCTCTGGCCGAGGCGTGGGAACGCGGCCGCGGACCTGCGACCCGGGAGCTGCGCGCGGGCGGGAGAGACCACGCGAGCGAGAGCGCGGGCTCGCACCCTCTGGCTTGGGAAGCACGCGGACTCGAGCGCGGGCGCGGCGGGGCGGGCCGGCGAGGGGCGGGCCCTGGACCCGGGCTGTCCGCCCTCCTCCGCGCGCCGCGGTCTCGCTGAGAAGTTTCAGTCCTGTGTGTAAAGAGTAACCCCGAGCGCGTGGCTGAGTGTGAGCGAGCGTGTGTGACGTCGCGAGGCGCCGTGGCTCGTCCGAAACGCCCCATTCAGCTGTCCCTTGTCTGGACCAAAACTGCTGACCGGCTGACCCGGGCGATCCCATTTGCCCTCTGGGGCTTTTGAAAACCTTAAATCAAAGTTGCTTTTCTCTCTGACAACTCCCGAGGCTACATCCGCGGCCTCTGGGCTATGGACAGATAAGGACGTGAGTTTCCCCGACCAGGTACTTAACCGCTGGCGGTCGGAGGGTCCGAGAGGTTGGCCACGATACGATTTCCAATTTGTGTCCATCAGTTACTTCCATTTGGTCTTCGGCCACAGAACTGTGGACAGGAGACCCCGCTGAGTAGACCGCGGGCAGGAGATGTGTCTACTCGGATGGCAGGAAGGACCAGAGCAATGATGCGGGGATTTCAGGACACAATGTTAGCAGGCTTTCAAGTTCGAGTTTTTCGGGCTTGGATTATCCAGATAATTGCCTCAGTTCTCCCTCCCGTCCCCCTGGTGTGTGCAGTCGCAGCTGTAGAGTGAATTAGAATCCAGGGCGTGAAGATTCGCGCTTGGAAATGGAATTTGTTTTCTAAAGTGCTAATTCGTGTCTAACAGTTCTTGGTGCGTTGGTCAACTTGGGTAGTGTGCAACTCTAGCTGTGCTTTCAAAACGTCTTCTCAAGCTGCTCTTTCTCTCCACATTCTGTGGGACTTTTGAGCCGGCGAGGACACTGTGCCTCCGCGAGGGCAGTAACCGAGCGAGACCGAGACGGGGAACCGGCCCGTTCCGGCGCGGCAGCACCGGGACGGGCGGCGGGTTGCTTGGGGTCCAGCCTGAGACTCCACGTGGGGCTGGAACAGCTCCGTGCTCAGTGGAGAAAAGGCTCTGAGAAAGGGACGCCTGTCAATCACCACAACCCTCCGTCACGGATGGGTTCGTATCTTTCTGGGGATCTGCCTAGGGCGTCCCTGTGACACTCCATTCCCTCCCCACACCCGACCCGCGCTGGGCAGGCAGGAGAAGAGGAAAGGATGCGACGCGAAAAGACAGGACCCGACGGGGTTTGGGCTGGGGGAGAGCGGGAAGGAGTCGGGCCGGCGGGGAGGACCTGCAGCCAGCGAGTTAAACCTGCTTTAAAACACAAAACGCCTTCCCAACATGCCCTCAACTCTTTTGTGCGGCCCCCACTGCTGTGCCTTCAATAACCGTGTGAACAGAAACCCGAAACGTTTCATCCTGACTTCTGAAACTTAACCCCGAGCAAATCACGTACTCGGCGGGGGCCGGGCGGGGCCTGGCGGGGCGAGATAGGGTTTGGGCCGGACGGCTGGGCCGCGGGGGCCGTGACCCCCAGCTCTGCTGTCAGCGCCAGGGCGGGTGCTCAGCGCGCGCCGGGCCCCGGGCCTCTGCTCGGCGGCAGCGCTGGCGGTCTGAGCACGCTGAGCCGGGCAGAGCGGTTTCGCACCCCGACACCAGCCCCGGCTCCGGGTTCCCGCGGCCCAGCTAAGGGCGAGCCCGAAGCGCGCCGGTAGTCCGCCCCACTTCCCAGGCCCCAGTGCTCTTGGCCGGTCGGTCGTGGCCACGGGTGAATGCGCTGTGGCCAGACAGGTGCGAACTCGACATTTACAATTACCGTGAACGCTGCAGGTTTTTCTGAAAGCGAATGCCAGCAGGTACAATTAACGTTTGCCACGCGAGCAATTAGCGGGCGCTTCCAAATGCCTGAGGCTAAACAAGAGATCATCTTTGAAAAAAAGTCCAAGAGTTCTTTCTCACTAATACTAGTGTATTTAATTATAATGATTGCAAAAAATCGCAAAGAGGGAAATGATTTGCTTGCAATAAAGTAGCAACTGGTTAAAGTTTTTCCATATTTGTCTTTTAAGACTTAACCGCTGTACTATGTTATAAAGAAAAATATAGCAGGGACGTTCGAAAGCACACACGGATTTAATATCGGTTAAAATATTTTTAAACAAAACGTCTCATTTTTAAAAGTGTTTAGAACAGTGCCTGGTACATAGTAATTGCTATATAAGTCTGTTAAATAAAGAAGAATGTATGTGGCTAAAGAGCTCGGCATTTTGAATACTATCAAAAGAATATGATTATTTATCTGCAAAATACTTAATAGCAGTTAGGGAGCACGAGATTTTTCCTTAGGTCGTCTACACCTCTCAGGTATTCCATTTGCCTGTCCCCTGGTTGAGCGCCTTGTCTGTCTTCAGCTGAAAGTGCGTCTGAGGCCATCCAGGGAGGAAACTCTTTAAAGCACCCCAGCGGACTTATAAACGATTGTGGATTGGAGGTGGGGAGTAAGGTGGGGAGGTGTAGGGGTGGCGTGTGCAGAGAGAAGGACCAGAGAAAGAGAATGAGAGAACGGCGGGATTTGAAGCCTCGTGGCCCCTCTGCGACATCCTTTTCAGCGAAAGTTGGTTGAAGGCTTACTGAGCGCCAGGGCAGAAGAAAAGATGTCCGCGCGCAGAGCAAACTGCAGTTCTTTTCTTTCTTTCTCTTTGAAAGATTTGTACCCATGAGTCAATTAGGCCAAAAGACACGAGGGACTTTCTTAGAAACGAAATGCCACCAGGAAAGCACACCCAGGACGACAGATCTAAAGGGAATAGAGAAGAGAAGACTCAGTCGTTTTCCCGAAGAAATTGGTCATCTCGCCTGTTTTGTACTTATGTGATTTAACTCACTTAGTGGCGTGAGAGTGAGATGTTGAAGGCAGAGATCTGGAAATATCAGATTCAATGGTCTTGGTCCTCCTTCCCGGCTCTTTCCCCACACGTTTAATACAAAGTTACAGTTTTTGCACCTGTTAGTGGTAAGTTTGGCTGTCCTGACCAAGTCTTATCTTGTCCCCCAAACTTTGAGTTTTGTTGCACAAACCAATGAAGTAATTGTTTTGCTATAATTCTAAAACTCCCTTGCAGCATTTTTGGAACGAACTGGGGATCTTTTAAAATTCCTCTTGATCTGCTTTTTTCTTAATTAGAGACCTCTAATTTTTCAAGACCAATTGTCACACTTTGTTATTTGTTGCTCCTCTGAATCCTTTGAGATGCTGCTTACGATTACTTAAAAAACGTTGGCCACTCTGGTGTTTGGGTGGCTGAGAAAATCACTAAGGCATGACACCATTTAAAAAAAAATGTTTTAGTTTCTTAGTGAAATAAAGGCAGCTCTGCTGTTTAGAAACCTTTATGTTAGTCTGAGAAGCCTAGGTACACACAGTTCAAATTGAGAAGTCCAATATTTTGCCCCATCTGAAATATTATAGTTATTTGCATGGCTTTTTTTTGCACAGTGAGGACAAACAGGTTGCCCTGAGAAGTGCTAGTCTATTTACAATTGCTGGAGCAGGTGACAAGCACGTGCATATCTGTGGGCAGTGTTGTTGGGCTGCCTTTCCTGGCTACAAGGCTATAGGGAGCTGGCAATGCCTTAAAATGTGCGAGAATGCTGTGCCCTGGGAGAAGAGGCCAAGGGCAAGATCCTTGTAAATTTCAATACTTTTCCCAACATCAGGCTGGCAGGCAGGCAGGCCAACCTAGGGTCACTGACACATATTTGCAAGCCAGTAAAGCAAAACAAAGCCGAAAGCAACCGCAAATTTAGGCCTACCAACCTTGAAGTCAACTCTAAAAAGGAGCTGCCTTACCAGTTAACAATTTTTCTCGCTTGGTCAGCTGCACAAAATGCATCATATTTCTTGACTTGCCATAGTAGGTGCTACTTATTTGTTACGTCAGAGGCTTCAAGGTAGGAAATCTAAGACCCAAAGCACCCATTCCTGGAAGTTAGGATGTTTAAATTGATCTCAGTTGTTAAACGCAATTTATTTAAAAGCTTTTGTTTTATGGTGTTATTAGTGCTTAGCCCATGCCCAAGGATGGAGACTGGTTTCATTATAGAACCCTTGAGAAGAGAGCCGTATAGTAGGAAATAACTAGTTTCCATATGTCCCTAAGCAACAATCAGAACACTCACTGTATTAATTTGACTCTTTGTGGGGTTAAATTGATGTCGACAGGCTTTTAAGGAAATTCTTTTAAATTTCTATTTTCTTGAAGTTGGTTTGATTGAAAGATTTTTTTTCCCCTCTCTTCAAGATACAATGAAATATATTCACTTCTTTCATGAAAATGTTCTTTAACTATATCCCTATTCCCTAGAATAATGCCTGAAACACAGTAGGTGCACAATAAATGGTTTGGAATGCATTTTTTGTTAAAATTAATGAACTCTCTTCTTCCTTCCCATATATAAAATTTACATGCATTTGAATAATAAAATAGAAATAAGCGACCATGAACTAAAAGGCCACGAAAAGATGAAGAAACTATGCCTACATATCAGTAGGAAATTTTACTGTGAATGGGCCGTAAGTCCAGCTCTGAGCTTCCTGGCAGCCAAGTCAGAAGAGAAACATAGTGAGTTTTCCAATTCTTGTAATCAGAAAAAGGAAAGCACATTGTTTTTTAAAAAGGAAAACTTTTACCCAGTTACTAAATTCTAAAAGAACTGCATGCTTAGCCGGGCGCGGTGGCTCACGCCTGTAATCCTAGCACTCTGGGAGGCCGAG